GGCGCCGCTCGAAGCCCGTGAGGGGCAATGTTGGTGCCCCCTGTTCCCGCCTGCCGCCCTGAGGCGACGGCGGCGTCTCCGGCGCTGGGGTGGTGCGGGAGGGTAGGAGAAGCCCTTGGAAGGGCTCTCCCTGCCAGCCCCACTCCCGCCTGGGGAAGGGGTCAAAGCCGTTGGCCTGTGGCCGTACTCCGGGTGCGTCTCGGCCTGAGGAACAGCAGTTCCTCTGCTGGCTTCAGTGGCATTGATGCTTAAACTTGTTACAGGTTGAGCTTGGACCCGTGGCTTCATGGAGAGGTAGGTGCAAACTGCTCATGGGGCCAGTGCTCGGAGGCAGCTGGTGAAAGGCTGGGGAAGTGCTTCCTTACCGCTGCACACTCAGCCTGACCCGAGGTGTGAGGGACCTACCTCGTCCCCGCTTAATTTGCAGGTACAGATCAGAGGGACTTCTCCCTTCTTTCCTCCTGATGGGTAATCCTGTACTTGGAGAGAAATAGGAAGCAGGGCCCCTGCATTTTCAACTCCACTGAGCTGAAAAAGGAAGCCAGTGATGTGGAAATTAGGTTAAACCGCCTAAGTAGGCAGCTTTCTGCACGTAACTAATCTAGCTGCTGCATATAGCAGTGCTCAAGTGAATTCCAGTCTGGTGGGTAACTCTGGGACAAACCCAGGCTCCTCTCTCTCTCTGGTGGGAGAGACAGGGTGGAAAGCAAGGGAAAAACAGGATATGTGGTGAGACCTGAAGCAGCTCTCCTCCACTGAAATGGAGGAGCAGGTCACCTGTGTTGAGGTCTGCACATACTGCAGGAGACACAGGGAGCAGCAGATATGAAGCTGGACTCAGATGCCAGCTTTATGACTTTGGCTGCAGCATCTAACTTACCAGTGTAGGTGTTACCATGCCCTTTGAGTAATCGACTGGCATTCTTTAGAGCTATCTACACACCTCTCTCTGTTTCCTTCAAGAAAACTACCTGCAAGACATGCCAAGAACACATCACTGGCCTGGCAACACATCTGCACTGGGATATGAGCATCGGCTGCAGGCATGCAGCTGTGGTACAGGTGATGACTTTCAAAAAAGGAGTGACTCTAAGATCACATTAATCTGCTGAGGTGAGAACGGGATCCTATGTATTGCAGGGCTGTGAGGGGCCAAGGCCGGATGTCAGAGTGGGTGACAAGGGGTGGCCAAGAAAATACCAGCTGCTGATCCATCCGGGTGGACTGGAAGACTGCATTCAGTCTCACCTCGAAGTTACCTCCAGGCACTAATTAACCCATGTTTCCTTGAACAGGCTATTATTAGAGAGGTGCTTGGAGGAGAGCCCTTGGGACATGTCCCACTTAGTTGACAGCAGCAGCCCTGAAGCACTGATGAAGATGCCCTAGTGCTGGCATCTTCACTGCCCATTTGTCCACAGCAGGAGCACATTGAGGAGACAAGTGTCCAACATCACTCTACGCTCAAATACATTGGGAAAAGTGGCACAGGAGCTAATGGTTCAAAGCTTTGGCTCAGTAAACCTAGTAGAGGGCTGTGCAGACAGGCATTTGGGAGCGGTGTTTTGTGAAGAATTAGATGTTGCTTCCTTGTCATGTGCAGTTACCCAGCAGGTATGAGGAAGGTAGTTTATTGTTTACCATCTGGGGGCACAGGGAATAAGAGTTGACTTTCTAGACTGATGCCATTAAGAGCTAACACATGTACAGAGAGAACTAGTGGATGAGGAGCAGCTAGAGTGAGACTAGACACAGGAAGGAAAACAAATGGGAGAAGAAACAGCCTGTCTCTAAACCAAACCACGACTAAAGTGACTGTGCAACAAGGATGGACTGTGAGAAGGGTTGGACTCCCAGGTATTGCAGAGGAGAAGAGGAGATCATAGACTCTTTAATTTTTATACATTTTTATCTTCCTATTTCTGATCTGACAGCTTTATCTGTTTATTTAATATGTAATAAACAGGGGCTTATACAGGTCTCACAGAGCTACCCTTCCTGAAGAGGGGGAGGCAAAGGAATTATTTCAGATTTGCTGTAAGAGAGGAGGGAGAAAATTATTTTAGATTTGCTGCAAGAGCCATGGCAGGAAAAAAAGGCAGAGATAATCTGGCATGATAGGGCTGTAAGGCTTGTCTTGATAGCTGGAGGACTTGAGTAAGCACAGAGATGGCTTCCCACAAGGGCTTTACTAAGGCTGCGTGCTCAGCATGCTCCCTGGAACTGCAGCAGGCGTGCATTTCCCTGCAAAAGCGGGTCCCTCTGTCAGCAAAAGGAGCTGCTGAAGCTCTAGGCTGACTACTGAATTTCTGGCAGTGCAGAGCAGTTTAGCTTCCAGCTGCTGCTGCACAGAAAATTAATCAGGGCTGAAGAACTGGAGCAGAGAAAGCCCCACAGCTTCCAAGAGGGTGTTTGGTTGTCACCCTGGTTGTCTGTCCCCAGCTGACACGACACACAAGCTGTGCAGAAGCATAGAGTTTGCTCACTGCTCTCCCCCATGCTTTGAGGGAAAACACAGGGCACAGCCTCATCCCTCTGATTTAGCTAAGTGGCTAGGTCCAGGAGGGGAACACAGCTCTTCTCTGACAGTGTCCACAGATCAGCAGTGATAGAGCTTGGCACAGAATGATTTTTCTTCTTGGCTGGACTTACTCTAGTGACAATTGTCTCTTTCTCCTTTCCTTCCCCCCTGCCTGTGCTTGCGGAGTTTGCACCAAGAGAAACAGACCCGTTCTAGGCTGCCAGGGCAAGAAGTGAGAATTAGAAACCAGCCTCCCGTGGAGTTAAAGACAGGGAAATACCAGACTCAGCATTACAAACGCTTCCATTTTGTTGAGTTTGAAAGCAATGGAAATTCTAGGAGCTTCAAGTGGTTCAATTGGTCCAAAAAATGTGGAGACGACTAGCTCAAATAATCAGTTTGGTTCCCCCAAATAACTTGTTCCAAGTGGTGTTCTTCAGCCCGAAAATAAGTTTCCCAAGGGGTGTGTGGGAAGAGTGAGAGAACATCTCTATTATGTATGAGTTTGTTAGATGAGCTTCTTCATCTTGAAAGAGGAGCAAAATATGAACACAGGAATAAGCAAACAGTGGAAAATAGGTCTGTGACTGAAAATGCTCAAGTCCTATGCAGTGACATTTCTGTTCTAACTGAAGCAGATGACCAGCCTGACAACATTCTCTTCATGTCTTTCATTGCAGCTTGGCACTAGTCCAAATGCCACTACAGGTGCATCCGCTTCCACCAATATAAACAAGGGACCAAAGAGCACAGTTCTGACATGCAGTCTGCCTTGTGCACAGCCAGCTTGGAGGTGCACCATGAATGGGCCAACATCTTGGGGTTTTTCACCCTGTGTGCAAGGGTGAACTTCTTTAGGGGGTGGCTTCTCTCCCCCCGTCATCCAGAGCAACATGGAGAGAAAAAGGGGAAAGCCATTTACCAGCTAACAGCTTCCCACTCTTGGACGAGTACAAGTTGGAGCAGTGAGGGAATGCTGCATCTGACCTAATCAGTTGCGAGTTACTGCAGTGCAAGTAAGCTAGGCTGGGCTGCTCTGTTTCCCCATCCTTACTGGAGCTTTCCTGCATCAGTACACTGGAGATAAATGTGCTGACTGTATCACCACCACACATTCCCCTGGTTCTCCCTTTGTTTAGTGGAAACACTGGAGGAAAAGTTTGCCAGAGACTCCCAAGGCTCCAGATCTTCCAGAAATATAGGCCTTGACTCAGCTTGAAAAGGCCAACAGTACAGAGCAGACGGTGTGTCTGAGGGAGCAGGATGCTGCTCCTGCTCAGGGATGAGGTGGAAGTCTCATGGCTGGGAGTTATGACAGTAAGTGGTATGAGGGTGGGCTAAACTAGCCTCTGAACAGAAATAGCCACAGACCATGCACAAACAGGCTGCCCCTGCAGCCAGAACTGCTGTCCCACAGAGCAACATGGGCAGAAGGGTGAGAAGAAGAAAAGGTGCTGTGAAAGCAGGGGACAGGTATGTTTCTGACATACGCAGGAGGAGGTAAGATAGAAGCTTGGACAAAGTCAAAAGAGAGGGATCAGTCTAGAATGTGACAAGGAAGAGGATGTGGTTAAACACCGTGCTGTTCCTGAAAATCTCCAGAGAAACTACAAGTTCCTGTGCCTCTTGGGTGACGGAAAAGGTGTCCAAGACAGGCCACTTATCACAGGGCATTTGAAGCAGAGCAGCAGAAAATTGCAAAGAATCCTTTGAGTCCAAGATGGGACAGAAGAAGGTGTAGAGACCCAACGCCACGCTCTCGTTACACAAGTAGGCTCCACCATAAGACATCACTCAGCACCAACATCAATTTAATTCTTCCCTCCTCAGGACAGGAACAGGGCAGATACCCCTGGGGTTACATCAGCAAGCAGAAAAAGGGCTAAGGGACAAACTGTGCTGGAAAATCCCAGCTAAACATACAGGCAACAGAACCACTCTGCTCAAGACATCCCAGACCTGGGTGGAGTATGAGAGTAGTTCTTCTGAGTCACTGAGGTGCAGTCCACTCAGCTGCTCAAAACTGCAACCCAAAGGACACATCCAGGAAAACAAATCTAAGTCTTCTTCCTGCTGTTCTGTCCTGTTCCTAAGAGGCAGTGGGTTATTATGGCCCTATGCAGCCTCAAAAGTAGTGAAGGAAGCAAGTCCAAGTCTGTGAACTACACGGTCAACGCAATGGCTTTGGCTGTTGTGTTCAATACAGCATTGGAAACAACCGGAATGTCTCGGGCAACTCTCTGAAAAGGTGGCATGTTGGGTCCTTCCAACGTGTCCAGGATACCTGCAGGGAACAGAAAAAAAGGGGAGAGGGGCAAGAGTTAGTTCAGATGCAGATGGCACATTTCTTCTTTTTCTCTTTGGCCAGGTAATGGTTGATGGTGGCAGGGACCAGGACATGGGAAGCACCTGTAGGTGACGGGAGACATCTAGCCCTGCGGACTGAACAGCAGTAAACACCTCTATCCAGGCACCACAGGGAACAGATCAGAGCTTGTCCCTGGGGCAGGGAAGCTGCATGTTCCTAAGAGGAACATAGATCCTCTCACTTTGAGGGTGCCAGATCCAGTCCCCAGCCATTTGACCCAAATGCAGATGTTGCTTTGCCAAGGCAGACTGAAAAAATCCTCTTCCCACCTCATCCCAGCACAGATCCTGCTCTCAGACCAATTGTTTGCTTTCATCCCGAGATACACTTGCAAAGTCACAAGAGCTGCAGCTGGGGGTGCAATATGGAAATTTTATCACTGCAATGCAAACAACCCATGCTTAGCAGGAAACACGTGTACCAATGCAAGTGTCCTCCAGTCCCTGGCAATTACCCTCTCAAGACTGATAATCAGTCTTAGAGTGCCTTGAAGAAAATGGCTTGGAGTATATTTTATCTTACTTCATCTGAAAAGTTGCAAATTAGGGCTCAGAACCTTCACCATAAGAACGGATCCAGGGAAGAACAGTATTTACATCTAAAAGAACATGTAATGACACGCTGTAATCCCAAATTATGCAGATTCACTTGGAATACCATCAACAGCTCTGGCCCCCTGAACTCATAAAGAGGCTTGCAGAATTGCATATATAAGAATTTGCCAAGTCTCTAGCAATGGGGCGAGGGAAGACTTTTCTTCTTTTTTTCAAAAGAGAATGAGATTTTGCTTAGGAGAAAACAGACACAGAAAGGGGATATGAACATGTATAGCCTGGTAAACAGCACCAGCTGAGGAAGATGCAGCTTCTTGTGTTGTACAACACAAGATAATAAAGGTGTTACACAAAGACGATGACTTATGACACATTTCCTGATCAGAGAAAAGCAACCTGACTTCAGCAAAATTCAGGAAGGGACTGAACAGCTGCATGCAAGAACAGTCAGTGCTGTTACACTTCGCTGGGGAGGCAGGACACTTACTCTTT